GGTGGTGGTGGGTGGTTTTGGGGGGTGGTGGTGGGTGGGTGGTTTTGGGGGGTGGTGGTGGGTGGGTTGGGGGGGTGGTGGTGGGTGATTTGGGGGGGTGGTGGTGGGTGGTTTGGGGGGGTGGTGGTGGGTGGTTTGGGGGGGTGGTGGTGGGTGGTTTTGGGGGGTGGTGGTGGGTGGGTTGGGGGGGTGGTGGTGGGTGATTTGGGGGGGTGGTGGTGGGTGGTTTGGGGGGGTGGTGGTGGGTGGTTTGGGGGGGTGGTGGTGGGTGGTTTGGGGGGGTGGTGGTGGGTGGGTTGGGGGGGAGTGGTGGTGGGTGGTTTGGGGGGGTGGTGGTGGGTGGTTTGGGGGGGAGTGGTGGGTGGGTGGGTTGGGGGGTGGTGGTGCGTGGTTTGGGGGGGTGGTGGTGGTGGGTGGTTTGGGGAGGTGGTGGTGGGTGGTTTGGGGGGGTGGTGGTGGGTGGTTTGGGGGGGTGGTGGTGGGTGGGTTGGGGGGGTGGTGGTGGGTGGTTTGGGGGGGTGGTGGTGGGTGGTTTGGGGGGGTGGTGGTGGGTGGTTTGGGGGGGTGGTGGTGGGTGGTTTGGGGGGTGGTGGTGGTGGGTGGTTTGGGGAGGTGGTGGTGGGTGGTTTGGGGGGGTGGTGGTGGGTGGTTTGGGGGGGTGGTGGTGGGTGGGTTGGGGGGGGGTGGTGGTGGGTGGTTTGGGGGGGTGGTGGTGGGTGGTTTGGGGGGGTGGTGGTGGGTGGTTTTGGGGGGGGTGGTGGTGGGTGGTTTGGGGGGGAGTGGTGGGTGGGTGGGTTGGGGGGTGGTGGTGCGTGGTTTGGGGGGGTGGTGGTGGTGGGTGGTTTGGGGAGGTGGTGGTGGGTGGTTTGGGGGGGTGGTGGTGGGTGGTTTGGGGGGGAGTGGTGGGTGGGTGGGTTGGGGGGTGGTGGTGCGTGGTTTGGGGGGGTGGTGGTGGTGGGTGGTTTGGGGAGGTGGTGGTGGGTGGTTTGGGGGGGTGGTGGGTGATTTGGGGGGGTGGTGGTGGGTGGTTTGGGGGGGTGGTGGTGGGTGGTTTTGGGGGGTGGTGGTGGGTGGGTGGTTTTGGGGGGTGGTGGTGGGTGGGTTGGGGGGGTGGTGGTGGGTGATTTGGGGGGGTGGTGGTGGGTGGTTGGGGGGGTGGTGGTGGGTGGTTTGGGGGGGTGGTGGTGGGTGGTTTTGGGGGGTGGTGGTGGGTGGGTTGGGGGGGTGGTGGTGGGTGATTTGGGGGGGTGGTGGTGGGTGTTTGGGGGGGTGGTGGTGGGTGGTTTGGGGGGGTGGTGGTGGGTGGTTTGGGGTGGTGGTGGTGGGTGGGTTGGGGGGGTGGTGGTGGGTGATTTGGGGGGGTGGTGGTGGGTGATTTGGGGGGGTGGTGGTGGGTGGTTTGGGGGGGTGGTGGTGGGTGGTTTTGGGGGGTGGTGGTGGGTGGGTTGGGGGGAGTGGTGGGTGGTTTGGGGGGGTGGTGGTGGGTGGTTTGGGGGGGTGGTGGTGGGTGGTTTGGGGGGGTGGTGGTGGGTGGTTTGGGGGGGTGGTGGTGGGTGGGTTGGGGGGGTGGTGGTGGGTGATTTGGGGGGGTGGTGGTGGGTGATTTGGGGGGGGTGGTGGTGGGTGGTTTGGGGGGGTGGTGGTGGGTGGTTTTGGGGGGTGGTGGTGGGTGGGTTTGGGGGGGGTGGTGGGTGGTTTGGGGGGTGGTGGTGGGTGGTTTGGGGGGGTGGTGGTGGGTGGTTTGGGGGGGTTGGTGGTGGGTGGTTTTGGGGGGTGGTGGTGGGTGGGTTGGGGGGGAGTGGTGGGTGGGTGGGTTGGGGGGGAGTGGTGGGTGGGTGGGTGGGGGGGAGTGATGGGTGGGTGGTTGTTTTGGGTGGGTGAGTGGGTTGGGGGTGGTGGGTGGTTGGGTTTGGGGGGGTGGTGGTGGGTGGGTTGGGGGGGGGAGTGGTGGGTGGGTTGGGAGGGGAGTGGTGGGTGGGTGGGTTGGGGGGGGAGTGGTGGTGGGTGGGAGGGAGTGGTGGGGGTTGGGGGGGAGTGGTGGGTGGGTTGGGGGGGGAGTGGTGGGTGGTGGGTTGGGGGGTGAGTGGTGGGTGGGGTTGAGGGTGGTGGGTGGGTGGGTTGAGGGTGGTGGGTGGGTGGGTTGAGGGGTGGTGGGTGGGTGGGTTGAGGGGTGGTGGGTGGGTGGGTTGAGGGGTGGTGGGTGGGTGGGTTGAGGGGTGGTGGGTGGGTGGGTTGAGGGCTGCACGCATTTTCAGTCGGGGCATCACACGTCCACAACCGGTGGCTGCCGTCTTGCCGCATCAGCTCCGCTGGGGCTCGCCGATCGGGCCGCTGACAACGATCGGGCCGGAGATAGCGGCCCCAGCCCCCCCCCCCGTACGGTCCGGTGCGGTGAACCGACCGGGACGCCACCGCGGCAGCAGCAGCAGGTCGCCTTCGTTTCTCGGTTCAACAGACGAACCGGCGGCTTTGTGTTTATTGCGCGCGACATTTCTGCGTTCAAACCGGTTACCAACCGGTTTTTTCTCACGATGTCTTTACCGGTAACGCAGAAACTGCCCCCCCCAATGTGTCACCGCCCCCGCTGCCGCTTGGAACGCGACGGGTGCGAGCGTGGGCACGCGCGCCGCACTTGGTCGCTCCGCTGCTGGATGAGGGCCTCCCTCACACCGTACGGTTTTGCGGGTGTCTGAAACTCCCGATCGGTCACTCAAGTCGTGAGCTTGCTGGTCGTGGTGGTCCCGGTGGTGGGAGTGGTTGCCGTGGTGGTTGCGTTGGTGGTTGTTAGTTGTGGCGGTTGCGTTGGTGGTGGTGTTGGTTGTTTTTGGTGTTGGCGGTTGTTGGTTATGGTGGTTGCGTTGGTGGTTGTTTGCAGCGGTGGTGGTAGTGGTTGTCGTCTTTGCGGTTGCGTTGGTGGTGTTTGTGGTTGGTGATTGTGGTGGTTGTGGTGGTTGCGTTGGTGGTTGTGGTGGGTGGGTGAGTCCAATGATTGGGTTGTTCTGTCCGTACCGATCCGTCATTCTCCCTGAGTCGCGTTTTGCGACTAGCATTTGAGATGCGGCCGGTATCCTGGGCGACGTGCATCTGGCGCCAGCCAGCGCTGGCACGGTCGCCGCTTGTTGCAGAGGTTCGCGGTTCGAACCCAGTGGGCCGCCCTAGTTATTACTGCCCTGGCGTGGCCCCACGGTCACGCGTTCTCCGCTTGTTGTAGAGGTTCGCGGTTTGAACCCGATGGACCGCCCTGGTCAACACCGCGGTGCGGATGAACCATTAAAATGCTGCGCGCTCACAGCGAACGTCAAAGATCCCGTGATGTCATTCAACAAGAGCAGGCCATTGATCAAGATTGGCAAGGTGGCCAATTACTCGATTGGGATTACACGTGCCAATCGGCGTGCCCCTACTGTGTACCCACTGCAGACTGACCTGTGTAACACAACAGCGGCCTGCCCTCACAATGGCCTCGCGCTATTGAGAAACTATAGCGCCAACACCAAACGACCACATTACTTTCATGATGAACCTCTCGCCGCTAGGGCGGGCTCGGTGGTAACTGGGCGGATTATAGAGATGTTGCCATATTTAATGAAGCAGCAACGCTGTCTGGCGCTGCCGAAATGTCATTGGCCCGAGGCCGTGGCACCGCTACCGCCAACCACGGCAGCCGCTCCGCGGGGTGTCGGCAGCAATCCGCGCGGTGCGCTCTGCGCGACCGGTCGGCAAACGTGCCTCTCTCGCCTTACGACACCGTCGAAGAATTTAGCGCGAAAACATGTTCCCCCCCGCGGCTGGCACGCGGCGCGGTTTAATATAAGTGGGAGACGCGGGGGCCGCGTCGTTCACGGGACCAGATCTCGCACCGGAGCCAGCGGCGTTTTCCGCGAGTTGAGCCAAAGGAAGCGTCGTCGCTTGAGAATCGGAATATTTATCTGCCCACGGCGGGATCCAATCCTCGACGATCTCACTCGCAGGCGAGAGCGAGACGCGCGGGAATAGACGAGGCGCGGTTGGCGACGCGGTGAAGATGACGTGGATTTCCGACGGTGCCCACCATAGAGAGGGGGGACTGCAAGAAACGTCGTATGCTCGTATTTAATTTGTTATTTTATCTTTATACGTGACTTTACCGAAAGAACCAAAGAGTAATTCCTGCAGTCACGAAAGCTCCAAATTAAGTTTGAATGGACTATAGATTGGTGATGAGACGCACAATACTTGGCATGCAGACGATCGCAGATGTCTGCCTAGCTAGTTATTTGTATGTTGCACAGTGACGCTGATGTAAGAAGGAGCGTGTGTTTCACACAAAGGCAAAGGTTATCCGCTAGGGCCTGAATAGACCATTTTTGGGGCAAGTGCTGTTAGCGAGTAGCACCGGTGAAGGCCGGAACGGCACACGAGGGGGTGGGTGGCCAGCACCACGCCCGACCGCCTTTGTCTCCCTCGTGGAAATGTTTACTTTACACACCGCACCAGGTACTCATTTGAAGCTGAGTCGACCTAGGGGAGGCCCAGGACCAGTTCAGATAATCGTCACTGGTACTGGCCGTGAGCGGAAATTGAACTCGGGTCACCGGGTTTGTAGCACTACCACAAAGATCCCCCGTATAGCCTGAACAGACTGTTGGGGCAAGTGCTGTTAGCGAGCACCTATGAAGGCTCGCACGGCACACGAGGGGGTGGGTGGCCAGCACCACGCCCGGCCGCCTTTGTTTCTCCCCAGTGGCGATGTTTACACACCGCCCCAGCTTCTCATTTGAGGCTGAGTCGACCTAGGGGATGCCCAGGACCGATTCAAATATGCGTCACTGGTGCTGGCCGTGATCGGGAATGGAACTTGGGTCGTTGGGTTCGGGACGTAGTGCGCTAACCGCTACACTACCGTTCCCCACACACGAATACCGTGTGCGCGCGTGCCGATCAAGTCCCTCCGTAATCCACCAACCCCCGACGCTCACGATCCCCGTGCCCCCTCCGCCTGACCCCCCCCCCTCCCGCAGCTCGAGCGATTTTGCGTCGGACAGCGATGGCAAGATGAGCTCGGAGGAGGAGGAGGAATTCGAGTCCGACTACAGCGACTACTACAAGAGCACGCCGCCGCTGCGTCAGCGGCACGCGCGCCTCAACGCGCTCAACCACAAGAGCGGCCGCGAGGGCCGGCGCCCGGCCACGGCCACGGCCACCGGCGCCGGAGGAGGAGGTGCTGCCGCCGCCACGGGGTCCGGCAAGGGAGCCCGAGGTGAGTTGAGTGGCGGTGACGGAGGGTTTCGGCCGGTGGCGCCACTGCAGCGCAGCCGCTGGCTAGAGCAACACCGCTGCTGCCACTCACGTGACAGCTGCTACTAGTCACGTGACAGCTGCTACCACTCACGTGACAGCTGCTACTAGTCACGTGACAGCTGCTACCACTCATGTGACAGCTGCTACCACTCACGTGACATCTTCTGCTACTCACATGACATCTATCAAATAACGACAAATAAGAATAGTTTTACCCTTTCTGGCAAGGCAACAGGTTTTAAGATGTTCAAACACCTTTTTCAAGGAATCGAGTCTGCATTAGCCGCACAGTACGTGTGGTGAGCCTGCAAACACACGTGCTCTGATTGGCCGACACAAGAGGGGGCCTGCTACTGACGCTTGTGCCACTGACACCGGCTGCTACTCACGCGAGATCTGCTACCGCAGGTGCAAACGTGCCACCTGCTTCAAATACTTACGGCGAGATCGGCGACAGATTCCACCGTGCCACGGCACGTACTGCCGCTGCTCAGGCAAACTCCATTTAGCCCGCACGCTGACCAACGCTGCCTCCGGCGACACGGACGGTCACGCCAGCACCGCCGCTCGGCGTGAACGGGCGCCGGCGTCACGGCGACCCGGGGACCGGACGTCCCCATAACGGGCGAACGGATTCGAGCAAATCCCCGCTTGGGATGAGCGGCACACCGTCTCCCCCCCTTAGAGCCCTGAACTAGCAGTGGAAATTCCACATTCCTTTGACGGGAGGGCTGCGGTTGTGGGTGAGAACTGCCGCCGACTGCCTCAACAAATTTGTACTTGTTTTAACGACCCCCGTTATGGGAGGATGATGGGCCGAGTCGACGTAGTGCGCTAACCGGATGTGAACTTGCGGCCTGGTGATTTGTGAGTCGCTTGCTCTATAGCGGAGCCACCTGGTCGGAGTAACTGGACTAACTAATAAAACTTTTGTTATTATTCTTGTTAAATTTCTCAAGATAAATTAATAAACATTATTTATTTGATAATTTAATGTGTTGATGTTGAACCTATTTCGCGCCGAACGTTACCAACCGTGCATATAATACTAATTAATATTATTGATACATTTCTTTACATAATTATTGTTTTATATAAATACTATTATTTATAATCAAACAAATAATAATTCTTTTTTATTGATGACCGTTAATCTTTTTATTAAAAAATCCAAGTATTTAGTGCAGTTATTTTATAAAACAAATAAAAAGTTTTTTTATTTATAACAGTTAATATTTTTATAAATTTAGTGCAGTTCTTTTATAATACAAAAAATAATAACTATAAAAAAAATCCAAAGTGAAACTCGACGATGGACGCACGGAGGGAGGTCGGCCGTACGTCAGGGAGCGAGGTGACTGTGGGTGTGTCTGTGCACTTGCCCCTACAGTCTGTTAAGGCTATGCGGGGGATCTTTGTATTTTTTGTCTGTGTGTGTCTGTGCCAGATCAGCTCAATAACAATGGTAGGAGGCTGCTAGATTTTTGTGCAGCCCATGGGCTTGTAATTACCAACACGTTGTTCCGGCATTGGCGCATCCACACAACATCATGGATGCACGCCCGGTCCAAGCAAGGACATCTGCTGGACTACATAGTGACGGAACAGCGTATGCGAGTCCATGTCCTTGACACCAGGACCTACCGTGGAGCTGATCTGCCCACTGACCATTCTTCCACTCTGGTGGTGGATGTACACCCAGGATCCCATTCAAACCCTTAGTGGCATGGTCTCAGCTAGTTGATGAAAGTTGCAAGCGAGAATTTCATCATCGCCTGCGGCTGGGGTTGGCATCATCCCCCACTCCACCTGATTGCAAGGATGGGTGGTGGTCGCGGGTTGCTGAGGAGATGGAGTCTGCCTCAGTGGCCTGCGATCACAAATGACTCTTTAACTCTATAAAAAAGTAACTTGCAGTGCCACACCTATCACCATCATTAGGGGAAAAAACGGTGATCCAATCTCCGACCCCCAGGAACAGGTTTGCAGATTTGCTGAGCATTTCTGTGAGGTCCTGGGAGAGGGGAAATCCCTCAGCCTTGACAACATCATGGGGCAAAGTGGGGATAACCCTGCTGAGGCTGCGGTGCCTCAAATATTGGAAGAAGTAGTCATCCCCTGGGAGTACATGTCTGCTTTATTGACCCGGTCAAGGCCTATGATATAATCCATAGGCCTATGCTCTGGGTTGTTCGTCGTGCTTTTGGAGTCCCTGACTCTGCTTACAAGCATTAAGATTTTCATGATGGTGAGCAGGCCCGGGTAAAACTACTTGGCCGGTAGTCGGAGCCATTCCCTGTTCACCTTGGATTGTGACAGGGATGTCCTCTGGCTCCCACATTATTTAACATCTATTTCGACCACATAGTTCGTGAAGCCTTTGATGGCTGTACCGGAGGAATTTCCATCTGGTACAGATACAGTGGGAGGCTGATCGATGCCTGGGTGCGATCAAGGGATGGCTCCCTATTGGTCAACCATGTTATGTATGCTGATGATCTGGTAATTGCTGCTCACTCAGAGGAGGGAGTTGGAGGCGCTGCTGCTGAACCTGGAGCTTGCCACTAAGAGGTGGGGCCTTACCATCAGCCCCACCAAAACTAAGCACCTGCCTGGGTATTTTGTACCATCGCACACTCCACCCCCACAACTCCCAATTGGTGATAGGGCAGTTGTGGAGAGAGTGGAAAGTTTCCCATACCTTGGCAGTGTGCTCATGACCGGCTGCAGTTTAGCAGCAGAGGTCTCACTCCAAATCAGTCGAGAGGCATTATCTTTTCATCGGTTGCGTAACGCTGTGTGGAAGCTACCTGGTCTATCACTCCGCACGAAGCTTCAGGTCTTCTCGGCCACGGTCATTCTCTCCCTTCTCTATGCTTGCGAAACATGGACCCCCGTAATGGAACATCTTCGCCGGTTAGAAACATTTAGGCTGGCCTGCCTACGATCCATCCTGGGTTTAACCAGGTTGCATTGTGTGGGGAGCTCACAAATCCTTGTGAGCTCCCGACGCCACACTGCACTTTGCCACACCGCACCACGCCACACTGCACCACACTGCACCACGCCACACTACACCGCACCACGCTGCACCGCACCACGCCACACTGCACCACGCCACACTGCACCACGCCACACTGCACCACGCCACACTGCACCACACCGCACCACGCCACACTACACCGCACCACGCTGCACCGCACCACGCCACACTGCACCACGCCACACTGCACCACGCCACACTGCACCACACCGCACCACACTGCACCACACCGCACCACGCCACACTACACCGCACCACGCTGCACCGCACCACGCCACACTGCACCACGCCACACTGCACCACGCCACACTGCACCACACCGCACCACACTGCACCACGCTCCACCACACTGCACCACGCCACACTGCACCACACTGCACCACGCTGCACCACACCGCACCACACTGCACCACACTGCACCACGCTGCACCACACCACGCCACACTGCACCACACTGCACCACGCTGCACCACACCGCACCACACTGCACCACACTGCACCACACCGCACCACACTGCACCACGCTGCACCACACCGCACCACGCCACACTGCACCACACCACACTGCACCACACTGCACCACGCCACACCACGCCACACTGCACCACACCACACCACACCGCACCACACTGCACCACACTGCACCACACTGCACCACACCGCACCACACTGCACCACACTGCACCACACCGCGCCACGCCCGCCTCCCTGCGCAGTTGTTTACCGCGTTGGATGCAATTAGCAGCTTAAACCGGTGGAGCTGTCGCGTCCCCTCTGCTCGCGCGTTCCACGCCGAGCGGCGCCTCAAATTAGCCGCGGTCCAATTACGCTCGCCGGCGAATTTGGGTCAGCGTTGGCGGCGTCGCGCGGCCGTCGGGGAGTGTGTCAGTGGGCGGTGACCGTGGCGCGCCATTAGAGACGCACCCTAGCTCCACGCAGAACCATCTTGTACGTATGCGTGCGTGTTGAACTTCTTTCCCACCGTACATAGCCTTCCCTTCTTCCTAGCGTTGTTCCCGCTGTGGCGCAGGGTCCGCTTTTCGGCATTGTCTTCTCCATTTGGCTCGGTCCAGGGCATCTTCAGGGGATGCGTTGACCGTCTTCATGTCTTCCTTTATTCGGTCCATCCATCGCTTCTTCGGACGTCCGCGTGGACGGCGGCCCTCTGACGTGGTTAAGTCTCGGCGCGACGGCACAGTGACGGCCGCGCCGACGTGTTGCCATTGGCGGCGTCGTTGGCGGCCGTGGGTCCCCTGCCGTGGTCGTGCGCATGAGCGTCGAGCACAAAGTGCTTCCTCGCAAACGCAGCAGCCGTCACCGCCGGCGCCACCGCCGCTAACCGCGCTGCTCACGCCGCCGCTTGCTCCTTCCCGGTGATCGACGATAAACGAAACTAGTTTTTATTTTACAAGGTAAGGTCCGCTGAGCTGTGTAACTCCTTTTCAGAAGTGACGTGGCTGTCAGACATGATAGCTCGACGAAGTGGCTTATCGCGTGGAAATTTAGAGCAGCAGCCAAATGCTCTCAGCGCGTGACGTCAATTCTAAATGTGGAGGGGAAAACCGGAGGGCCCGGAGAAAAATCCAAACGACTACGGGGAGAGAGAGACACGCAAACTCCAAATATACAGCAGCAGGCGTCAGGGTCGGGATCGAACCCACGACCTCCTGTACACCAGGCGAGGTAGTTAACATCTCCTAGCCACCGTGATGATGATGATGATGAGAGAGAGACGCGCAAACTAAACTATACTGCAGGCGTTGTCAGGGTGAGGATCGAACCCACGACCTCGTGTATACCAGGTGAGGTAGTTAACATCTCGTCACCGCGGTTACTTCCGCAGTGCAATCTGCGCCCGGCGTACACGGGCGGCAGACCGGTAGCGGTTATTGTCGGCCAAGCTGTCAAAATTCGGCTGATGCGTTTGGTGACGTCTGGAAGGGCTCTCCGTGTCGGCTTTCATCCGTCGGCCATTGCCCCCCGCGGCAGTTGTGTGCGTCGCGAGCGGCTGAATTGTAAACGTAAACTCGCCGGCGCATTCTCGAAGGGTCTGGTGAAGGTCAGAATGTACGAGGAGTGTGGATTTAATTATTTTTATTCGGGTGTTTTTTGAGCATGGGCCCAAATCGCTACGCCTCGTGGCCAGCGATCCGGCACTGTGGAGGCGGCGTGGATTGGTGGATCACACGCAGACGTCGTGGGCGGTCGGAGGAGGAGCCGTATCATGGCTCGCCAGGAGAAGGCGGTGCGCCAAAAGCGTGGACCGGTCTCCATCTTTGCCTTCTGCGTGGGATAGAGCGTTGCGCCCTCGCAAGTGTGGGGTTTCTCCGGGTGCTCCAACTTTCTTCCTACTGCGGTCTCAACCCTAAATTCATCTAAACACGTATAGCGAGGACTGCAGAGCTTGGGAAACTGTTGGTCGCGCCGGCTGCTCCTCACCGCCGTGCTGCTGCTGCTGTCTCCCAGCTCGTGCGTCTGCGGTTCCGCAGCGATCGGGTGCAGGAACGACGCTCTGTCAAATTAAACGTTGAAGTGCGTTCAAGTACAAACGTTTACCGCGGACCCCCTCGCCGCACAAAACTTGCGCGCGTTCCAAATTCCACGCCGCCGTTTTATTTTGACCTGCGATCTTCACGAATTCAGCCGTGTTCAAATACGGCATCGTCGTCGTCGTCGTCATGATGGATATTGAGTTTAAAATGTGGTAGGCATTCGCGACCAATATTAGCCATAATCGAGGGCTTTTTTTGGTTAGATCGCGTAAATATAAATGCGTGGTTAAACCCACCACCACCACCCGACGCAGCCAATAAGTAAGGTTTGTCACGTCAACAAAACGTGGCAATCTTCTTCTTTCATATGGGATTTTTGGGGCTTGCAACATAATTACAAATTGATGTCGAGATTTGACATCCCATTCGACGGCTTCAGGAGTAGCCGCGTGGATCTCCGTTGAATGATCCGATTGGGGCAGTCGTTTGCGATATCTTTGAGTTGTCGCTGCACCCACAGCCACAAACTGGACTCGTAACTTTTACGGCGAAAGTGTCCGGATCCTATTCAAGGAGGACCCATATCTTCCTCGGTAGTAACTAAACGTGCCAATTGGTTACTACTTCAGCACCACCGGTTGTGTGTTGGAGAGTAAACCCACGACGTTTACAATCGTGGATATTCACGAGCCCCCTGCAGTTGTGTTCTGAGACGGCTCTCCCCCTCCCCCGTGCCGTTTGCTGTGGCCTAGGACGGCCCCTGGAGGGCAAACGCCGCGCTCTCAGGATTCCTGTGATCAGAGTGGGCCCAGGTACACGTGCTGTGTGCTTGTGTGCGTGCGTGCATGTGCGCCTGTCATAATTCCCCCTACTAATGAAATGCTACAGCGAGAACTGGGTTGTCAGATTTTTGTTTTGGTGCGTGTCTGTGTGTGCGTGCCTGTGTGTGCGTGTGCCTGTGCGTGCACGTGCCTGTGTGCGTGCCTGTGTGTGCGCGTGCCTGTGTGTGGGGCACAGTCGGGGGCACAGGTGGTGCATCGGGCAGTCATCTCGGTCATCTCAGTCAGTCGACCCGTGGCACCTGGGTCTGTCCCGTGCTCTCCTGCCAGCGGCCGTTCGACACTTCACGTGGCCTTAACGTGCACATAGCCTGGTGCAAGCGCCGTGGTGATGTCACCGCCACTTAGTGGCAAATGGCGGTTGTTGTGTGTGTGTGCTGTGACTGTGTGTGTGTGCCTATCTTAATTCCTCTCTACTAATGATTGCTACAGCTGGAGATGCCTGATTTTTGTTGGTGCATGCGTGCGTGTGCGTGCATGTGTGTGTGCTTGCTTGCGTGCGTGTGCGTGCGTGCATGTGTGTGGGCCTGTCTTAATTCCTCTCTACGAATGAATGCTACAGCCCGAGCTGGGTTTTGGGCTGGATCATTGTTGCAACAACAACAAAATGCCCCCCCCCCCAAGTCGGTCCCGGATGTTGCTATCGGCGTCACGAGATGAAGATTTCGTTGGGAAATTATGCAGAGCGGTGCGGCTGCCCCTCTGCGTTTTCTTCGAGAACGGAATCCACGGAAGCGGATATCACAGAGCTATGTCCGATCTGATGTCCCCTGTTCAAAAGACACTTCCACACACAGAACGGCCAGCAGGAGCGGATATCACAGAGCGACCTGCGATATCCATTTTTACATTTTTAAATGGGAATTCTCGCGCAGGCGAGAGCGCTCGACACGGAGGGCACCTTCTACACGTGTGTTGCGCGTGTGTTGCACATGTGCTGCGCGTGTGCTGCGCCTGTGCTGCGCGTGTGCTGCGCATGTACTGCGCGTGTATTGCTGCGCTTGCACGGGTGACCACCGCCGCCGGTTGCGTGCCGGGGGGCGTCGTCGCAGCGCGACTGTGAGCTGCCAGCCACGTGTCCGGTGCCTCGTGCTGGCGGGAGGCGCCTCGTGGAAGATTGTGAGCGGCGTCGCGGGGTCTCCCCTCTCCCCTCCCCCGGGGTGGACGTGTATCGCCGTCGCGCTCGCGGGAAACCGATGTCCGGAGAGACGAGTCCGAATGGCGAGATGAGGAAGAACCGCGTCTTCCCGACGACACAGTGCGTTCTCGGGATGTCGGACGCAGCTCCCCCCCCCCCACCCAAACTTTTGCTTTTAAAGGTCACGGCGGTGAACGCGACCCTCCGAGGCTGCGCTAGGAGCGGGATCTGGAGGTGCTGTTTGGCCTACTCTTCCCCGATGTCCACACTTTACGCCGCCACGCATGACCTGCCGAACGGATGTTGTTGCTTACTCTTTGGTGGGGGAGAGAGAAACAGTTTGTTGTTTCTCTCTCGCACCTGAAGACGATTGCTTGTGTGGCGATCGAAACGTCGTGATCTATTATTTTTTCTACCGACGTGACTTTACCGAAAGAACCAAAGAGTTTGGATTCCTGCAGTCACGAAAGCTTCACATCAAGATTGGATGTTGCTCACTCTTACCGCTGGGTGGACAGTGGTGGGAGAGGGGGGGTGGGGGGGAAAGGGCGACAGGGGGAGTGGGGTCCCGGCGACCCGGGTTCGATTCCCACTGGCGGCCAACACCGGCAACGATTATCTGAACCGGTCCCGGGCCTCTCCTGGTTTGGCTCGGCCCCAAATGAGTATGCGGTGCGTTGTGTAAACACCGCCAGGCGTGGTGCAGGCCACTCACCTCTTCGTGTGCCACAACGCCGGCCTTAAATATGTTATCGTTAACAGCTCCCGGCCCCAACAGTCTGTTCAAGGCTACACGCGGGAGGTGGGGGGGGGGGTCTTTGTCTCTATGAGTGCGAGGGGAGCGTGCGTGGCTCGCACGGCGGCCGCCTTGATGCTCGCGCTCGCGACGACCCCGCGTACGGGACCACGTGGGGCACCGCGAGGCCCCGTGGAGCTAAGGACGAGAAAACTAGAAACGGAATCTTTACCAGGTAAGGGCCTAGAAGTGACCTGGCTGTCCCAAAAGATGGCTCCGACGAAGTGACTCATCGCGTGGGAATCAATCGCAGCCAAAATACCCTAAACGCGTAACGTCGATTCTGAATGCGGAGTGGAAAAACCAGAGGACTCGGAGAAGAAGTTCTTATGGGTGAGATGGCGTGAGTATAATTGTGTCGTTCGCCCAGCACCACCCGACACCGCCGGGTTGTAAGGTTTGTCGCGTAGACAAAACGTGGTGCGTGTTAGTGACTCGTTCAGCACCGGCGTGTTGTTTATGTACGTTGAGCTTCTTTCGCAGCGTACGTAACCAACCGCGCGAATCGGAGTGCTCATTGGATTCCTCCAGTGTAAGTAAATGATTCTGATTCTGGCTTTTGCGTTCAATGCGACTGGGTGGTGGTGGTGGTGTGGGGGCTGCCGTAGCTTCACAGACTGCAACATTCCCTTCTCAACCAGCATCGCTGCGATTGCGTTCGGCAGGGCCACCCCCTCATGGGATTTTGTCGAATTGCATTGGACCGCCGTTGAAGTGCCACTGGTCACCGTGCGACGAGGGTTCATCTCGCGGCGTTTGAATGTCGCTGTCCAGTTCGCCGCGGACCGTGGCCGCGCCGGGCTCCGTGAATGGTCTTCACTCGCCACCGACGTCGGCCGCGTTCGGGAGTCGAACTCAAGTCGTTGGGCAGCTGCGGGGACCCGTTCCAGCCGTCGCTCCTCCGCAGGCCGTCGACGCGGCCAGAAATCGACAAATCCTCCCCCCCCCCCACTAACCCCGTGCTTCTCCCCCCCCCCCCCGGCCCCCCCCCCCCCCCGGCGTGCTCGCAGGCAAGGGCACGATGAGCCCCTCGCCGGCGCAGGACTTTGGCGGGCGGCGCCGGTTCCCGTCGGGCGAGCGCGACGACCCCGGCGCCGGCTATGAGCTCAAGAAGAAGCAGCTGTCCATGGCGCGCAGCGTGGACCGCGACCGCAAGCAGCTGGGTCACGGTGACCTCGAACGCGACCAGGGGTCGGCGCCCTCACCGGCGCCTCCGCAAGCGCCGGCGCCGCCCGGCCCGGCCAACATCCCCAACGTGGACCTGCCCAAGCCGTTCCTGTCGCTGGGCTCGAGCAAGCTGGCGGCGCCGCGCCCCAGCCTCGTGCTGCGCCCGCAGCGCCAGAGCTCGCGCACCGACATGCCGGCCGACCGCCTGCGCTTCTTCGAGACGCTCAAGCTGCTGCTGATGCTCAACAAGCGCAAGGAGAAGGACCCGGTGACGCCGGGGCGCCTGCCCGGGACCTCCCCCGCCGGCGCGGGCCTCGCGGGCGCCGCGGGCCTCCTGTCGGGCGCGCCGTCGTCCGCCACGTCGTCCGCCGGCGGGCCGCAGCTGCTGTGGCAGAACCAGTGGAACGAGCTGATCTGGCTGGAGCTGCAGGCCTGGCACGCCAACCGCAGCATGACGGAGCAGGACATGTACCTGTACACGGCGCGGCACGCCATCCCCGAGGTCATGCAGGATGTGCTGCACTTTCGCGTCGCGCTCCGACACGTGTCGTGCCGACCGCCGCCTCCGGCCTTCCGCCCGGCGGCGGCGGCGCCGGGCGGCGGCGGCGTCGCGGAGGAGGAGGAGGGCTTATCGGCGGCCCGTGGCCAAAGCTTGCCGGAGACGGGGGCGGGTCGCACGGGCGCGGACGCCAAGGCAGAGGCGCGGCGGCGGTTGGCGATGGCGCCGAGCGGCGACGCCGCGTCGGGGAGGCAGCTGCAGCAGCAGCGAGGGACTTGGACAAAGGCCGCGACGGAACGCGGCGCCGATGACGGCGGCGGCGGACTCGGAAGCGACGCGGGAATTTCGCAATCGGCGCCGGGCCGGCTCGCGGCCCCGCCGGCGGCCGCCGGTGACGGCGAGGGAACGGAGGCGGCGGCGGAGACGGCGCCGGCGCGGCGGCGCCGCGAGTCGCCGCCAACGCTCGTGAGCGAAGCGGAGGAGCGGCCGCAACCTCCGCCGCAGCCGCCGCCGCCGCCGTTGCCAAAACCGCCGCCGGCGTCGTTATCGGCCTCGCCGCCACCGCCGGCGCCGCACCCCGTCTGTAGTCTGCACCACGGGGCGGGCGACCGGCCGCGCTGCTCGCTCGGGTTCCGGCTCATCGAGCCCGCCCACCTGGAGCTGCAGAAGGAGGCGTGCCAGCAGGTGAGGGGGTTCCCCCGTGCCAGGCGCAGTTCACCCGTGACGCATGCACATACACACACACGCACGCACATGGTGCATCTAGCAGCGGTCATTCCCCCCCCCACCACCAAGCCCCCTACCGGCAGACTGGTGCCAGATTTTAGGCCGGCTGCCGAGTCGCACGGCACAGGGACAGCTGTCGCTGGGGGTGTCCCCTCGATTGTTTAAAGATGAGATGCGGAAAGACGTCTGTTTGGCGAGTAAGCCCTTCTTGTTGTTAAGTCGGCACACTCGGGGCTCCGGCCTCGCCGAGTTATCCAGTGTTCCCAATGATGTTCAGTGCTACACCCCAGTGCCTCCTGCCCCAATGCATTTTTTTCTTCCAAATTTGTTTTCCAAACTCGTCACACACCCTAATTTCCCAATTTCGAATTATCAGATGCCGAAACAATATGCGGTTTTACTGTGTCGAACTTGTTTCGCACCGTACGTAGCCAACCGCGCTAATCTTTGGGTATGAATTTCAAGACTCGGTTTCCAATTAGGTTTTGTGCAGTAGGGAGATGGGCGATGTTTGTCTACCTCACTGGGCACTCTTTTGAGGCTGAGTCGACCTAGGGGGAGAACACATGAACTCCATACACAAGGACACAGAACCCCCCTGTAGCAAGTGCTGCTAGCAAGCACCGATGAAGGCCGGCACGGCACACGAGGGGGTGGGTGGCCTTTGTCTCCCCAATGGCGATGTTTACTACATGCCGAACCAGGTCATTTGAGGCTGAGTCGACCTACGGGAGGCCCAGCACCGATTTAGATAGTAGTCACTGGTGTCTCACTCACTCTAGAGAACAGGGGGAGATCATACAAACTCCACTCACTCACTCTGTAGAACAGGGGGAGATCATACAAACTCCACTCACTCTCTACAGAACAGGGGGAGATCATACAAACTCCACTCACTCACTCTGTAGAACAGGGCGAGATCATACAAACTCCACTCACTCTCTACAGAACGGGGGGAGATCATACAAACTCCACTCACTCACTCTGTAAAACAGGGCGAGATCATACAAACTCCACTCACTCACTCTGTAAAACAGGGCGAGATCATACAAACTCCACTCACTCACTCTGTAGAACAGGGGGAGATCATACAAACTCCACTCACTCACTCTGCAGAACAGGGGGAGATCACACAAACTCCCCTCACTCACTCTACAGAACAGGGGGAGATCATACAAACTCCACTCACTCACTCTGCAGAACAGGGGGAGATCATACAAACTCCACTCACTCACTCTGTAGAACAGGGGGAGATCATACAAACTCCACTCACTCACTCTGCAGAACAGGGGGAGATCATACAAACTCCACTCACTCACTCTACAGAACAGGGGGAGATCATACAAACTCCACTCACTCACTCTACAGAACAGGGGGAGATCATACAAACTCCACTCACTCACTCTGCAGAACAGGGGGAGATCACACAAACTCCACTCACTCACTCAAACTCCACTCACTCACTCTGTAGAACAGGGGGAGATCATTCAAACTCCACTCACTCTCAACAGAACAGGGGGAGATCACACAAACTCCACTCACTCACTCTACAGAACAGGGGGAGATCACACAAACTCCACTCACTCACTCTGTAGAACAGGGGGAGATCATAGACACTCCACTCACTCTGTAGAACAGGGGGAGATCATACAAACTCCACTCACTCTGTACAGAACGGGGGGAGATCATACAAACTCCACTCACTCACTCCAGATCAGTGGGAGATCATACAAACTCAATTCACTCTCTACAGAACGGGGAGATCATACAAACTCCGCTAACTCACTCACTCTGTAGAACAGGGGGAGATCATACAAACTCCATTCACTCTCTACAGAACGGGGAGATCATACAAACTCCACTAACTCACTCACTACAGAACAGGGGGAGATCATACAAACTCCACTCACTCACTCTCTGCAGAACAGAGGGAGATCATACAAACTCCATTCACTCACTCTGTAGAACAGGGGGAGATCATACAAACTCCACTCACTCTGTAGAACAGGGGGAGATCATACAAACTCCACTCACTCTCAACAGAACAGGGGGAGATCATACAAACTCCACTCACTTTATACAGAACAGAGGGAGATCATACAAACTCCACTCACTCACTCTGTAGAACAGGGGGAGATCATACAAACTCCACTCACTTTCTTCAGAACAGGGGGATATTACACAAACTCCACTCACTCACTCTGTAGAACAGGGGGAGATCATACAAACTCCACTCACTCACTCTGTAGAACAGGGGGAGATCACACAAACTCCACTCACTCTGTAGAACAGGGGGAGATCATACAAACTCCACTCACTCTGTAAAGAACGGGGGGAGATCACACAAACTCCACTCACTCTCTACAGAACGGGGGGAGATCATACAAACTCCACTCACTCACTCTCTACAGAACGGGGGGAGATCACACAAACTCCACTCACTCTCTACAGAACGGGGGGAAGTCACACAAACTCCACTCACTCTCTACAGAACGGGGGGAGGAACAGACAAAACATACACTAAAAGTGGCGTCCGAGTGGGGAATCCAACCCAGGGCCTTTCTGCCGCAAGGCAGCGGACGTCACCGCCGGCGCCCGTCGCGCACGCAACCGCGGGACAATCTGCGCGTGACGTCCGTGCCGCACGTGCCGCCCCCCCCCCCTCTGCCTCCGCCAGGTGAAGGCCCTGCTGGAGCAGCTGGACTCGCTGGAGGCGCTGTTCCCTTCGCTGCACGCGCTGCAGCGCGAGTTCCCGCGCTACGCCGCCGCCGACTTCCAGCGGCGAGTCAAGGCGCTGTGCCTGTGGCTGAACGTGACGCGCGACCTCAACCACAAGCTGGGCCTCATGGGAACCATCCTGGCCATCCGCGACGTCCCCGGCATGGAGTGGCCCGTCTTCGAGGTCACGTCGCCGCACTGGGCCTCCGGAGGGGGGGGGGCCGCCCGTCACGCCGCGTCGGGCGACGGGGGAGCCTCGTCCGGCTCGGAGACTGACGACGAGGACGAGGAGGAGGAGGACGAGATGGTGGTGGTGGTGGAAGAGGAGGAGGTGGATGGCAATGTGGCGACTCGGGGAGGAGGTGAGCGGTGTTGCCGCCCCCCCACCCACCCCCCTGCACCCCCCCCCGCCCCCCCGCTACCCACCCCCCCACCCCGGTGCGCCGTGGTGGCCCTCAACAGTCCGTTCAAGGCTCGACACGGGGGGGGTGGCGTCTTTGTGAGTCTCGGCGTCTGTGGTTGCTTGTATTGAAAGCTCGTTTGTTTAGAACTCCTTTCCGTCTTGAGTTTGTCATCCTTCCCCCGCACCTCCGTTTAGCACGGTTGGCTACGTACTGTGTGACAGAAGTCCGACATACGTACAGCTACAGAGCAATCTCTCGTCTCTGCGCTCCGACGCACGCAGCATCGGCAGCGCCCCGCTGCACCGCCGCCGCCACCACGACGGGCACCAGGCCGCACGTCCGTTTCCAGGAGTCGTTCTTCCGAGGCGGTCGAGCCGACAGCGAGGGAGAGGAGTCGCCCGGGACTCCGGACACGGAGGGGTCGTCCGAGGGGTCGCGGCCGCCCCCCGCGGCGCGCCACACGGCCATCTACCGCCCCTTCGTGGACAAGGCGCTCAAGCAGATGGGGCTGCGCAAGTTGATCATGCGGCTCCACCGGCTGCTGGACGGCTCGCTCCGCCGCGCCAGGGACGCTCTCATGCCGGAGGTGCACGGCGAGCAGGTGCGTGTGTGTGTGTGTCTGTGTGCGCGTGTGTGTCTGTGTGTGTGTCTATGTGCGTGTGTCTGTGTGCGTGTGTGTGTCTATGTGCGTGTATGTGTCTCTGTCTCCGTGTGTGTGTCTCTGTGCCCGTGTGTGTGTGTCTGTGTGCTCGTGTGTGTGTGTGCGTGTGTGTGTGTGTCTATGTGCGTGTGTGTGTGTGTTTTGCGTCTATGTGTGTGTGTGTCGTCTGCTTGTGTGTGTGTCTATGTGCATATGTGCGGGTGTGTCTATGTGCGTGTGTTTCTTTGTGCATGTGTGTATATACGTGCGTGTCTCCGTGTGAGTGTGCGTGTGTTTCTGTGTGTGAGTGTGCGTGTGTCTATGTGTGTGCTTGTATCTGTGCGTGTGTGCGGTAGTGTAGAGGTTAGCACGCTGCGCTACGAATCCGGCGACCCGAGTTCGATTCCCGCTCACGGCTAACACCACAGTGACGATAATTTGAACTGGTCCTGGGCATCCCCTAGGTCGACTCGGCCTCATATACCTCGTGCAAAGTTGGCCAAGCGTGGTGCTGGCCAACCACCCCTTTGTGTGCCACAGTGCCTGCAACTTGCTAACAGCGCTTGCCTCAACAGTCCACCGTGTAGCCTTCACAGACTGGCGGGGTAAGTGCTGTTAGCGAGTCGCACCTCTGAAGGCCGAGTGTGGAGGCTAGCACCACGCTCGGCCGCCTTTGTCTCCCCAATGGTGATGATTAGACACTGCACCAGGTACTCGTTTGAGGCTGAGTCGACCGACGCACCTGCTCACCCACCCACCCACACACCCTCCTACCGACCCGGCCACCAACCCGGCGAACCACCCACCCAGCCAGGACGACCTTCACCCAGCGGCGGATAGACCATGGCCGCCGTGTCCCACAGGACAGCGAGCTGGCGCTGGGCGGCAGCCCCCAGGACTACCTCCCCGAGCTGCTGGAGCGGCTCACCCTGCAGGAGTGCGCCGCCGCCCCTCCGGGCGAGGGGGGGGAGGGGGAGGAGGGGGAGGAGGCGGATGGGGGAGGGGAGGCCGGGCGCCAGCTGCTGGCCGAGCTGGAGCGCATGGGCCTGCCGTCGTTCCGGCCCGCGTACCTCGTGCTGTGCCGCATCCTCCTCAACGTCGTCCACGAATGCCTCAAGCTGCGCCTCGAGCAGAGGCCCGCGGGGGAGCCCTCGCTGCTCAGCGTCAAGCAGGTGCACGCACGCGCGCGTGTGTGTGTGTGTGTGCCCGTGTGTGTGTGTGTGTACCCGTGCGTGTGTGTGTGCCCGTGCGTGTGTGTGTGTGCCCGTGCGTGTGTGTGTGCCCGCGCGCGTGTGTGCCCGCGCGCGTGTGTGTGCCCGCACGCGTGCGTGTGTGTGTGCCCGTGCGCGTGTGTGTGCCCGCGCGCGTGTGTGTGTGTGCCCGCACGCGTGTGTGTGTGCCCGCACGCGTGTGTGTGCCCGTACACGCGCGTGTGTGTGTGTGCCCATGCGCGTGTGTGTGTGTGCCCATGCGCGTGTGTGTGTGTGCCTGTGCGTGTGTGTGTGTGCCCGTGTGTGTGTGTGTGCCCGCACGCGTGTGTGTGTGCCCGCACGCGCGCGTGTGTGTGTGTGTGTGTGCCCGCGCGCGTGTGTGTGTGCCCATGCGCGTGTGGGTGTGTGCCTGTGCGTGTGTGTGTACCCGTGTGTGTGTGTGTGTGTGCCCGCACGCGTGTGTGTGTGCCCGCACGTGCGTGTGTGTGTGCCCGCGCGCGTGTGTGTGTGCCCATGCGCGTGTGTGTGTGTGCCCATGTGCGTGTGTGTGTGTGCCTGTGCGTGTGTGTGTGTGCCCATGCGCGTGTGTGTGTGTGCCCATGCACGTGTGTGTGTGTGCCTGTGCGTGTGTGTGTGCCCGTGTGTGTGTGTGCCCGTGGGGAGCGGTGGTGTAGCGGTTAGCGCTACGCTGCGCTACGAACCCGGCGACACGGGTTCGATTCCCGCTCACGGCCAATATCAGTGACGATTATCTGAACCGGTCCCGGGCCTCCCCTAGGTCGACTCAGCCTCAAATGAGTACCTGGTGCGATGTGCAAACATCGCGACTAGGGGGACAAAGGCGGTCGGGCGTGGTGTTGGCCACCCACCCCCTCGTGTGCGTGCCGGCCTTCATAGGTGCTCGCTAACAGCACTTGCCCCTACAGTCTGTTAAGGCTATACGGGGTATCTTTGTCTTTGTGTGCCCGTGTGTGCGTTGGCCGGGCGTGGCACTTGCCACAACATCCCGTGGTGCGCCGTGAAAATCTTGACAAGTGCTGCTCGCGAATAGCACCTGCCCCCCACAGCCTGTTGGAGACATGCGTCTCTCCGTGCGTCTCTCCGTGCGTGCGTGTGCGTGTGCAGCTCGTGCGAGAGTGCAAGGAGGTGATCAAGGGCGGCCTCATCGTGAAGCAGTACTACCAGCTGATGACGCACTCGGTGCTCGAGGGGGAGCAGCCCGAGCCCGAGCAGGACATCGACGAGTTCGAGGACGACCTCCAGAAGATGCTCACCGTGAGAGCGTCGACAACAACACCACCACCATCACCACCACCATCACCACCATCACCACCATCACCACCACCACTATCACCACCAGCACTATCAACACCGCTATCACCACCACCGCTGTCACTACCACCACCACTTAAATCACAACTGTCATCAACACCACTCACCACCAACACTGCCGCCACCACCACTATCAACACCACTCTGACCCAGAGGTCGCAAACGGGTTTTGATTCCTTACCCGTACCCGTACCCTACCCGTACCCGGCCGGGTACGGGTAGGGTACGGGTATCGGGTACCTGATTGCGACCTCTGGGATGAAGCCATGTTGCAGGCGCGGGTGGGTTGATTCTAGGAACTTGAATTGTGAGAAGAGACAAGACGTTGGGAAATGAGTGACAAACGGTGACTCACCAGTGACTCACGGTCTACCCGTACCCATACCCGGCCGCACCAGGGTCGCAAACGGCTACCCGTACCCGTACCCGGCCGGGTACGGGTAGCCGGGTATCGGGTAGGGTACGGGTATCGGGTACCCGGTTGCGACCTCTGCTCTGACCCCCGCCGCCACTCTCACCACCACCACCACTACCACCACAACCACCTACAAGCGAAGCGGAGTCGCCAGGTCGTCTCGCGCAGAGGACAGCCCGGCCCTGCTTGGCCCCGGGGCAGGTTTTGGCACCACGGTGCGGTCACGGCTCGGCTCGCATGGACCAGTGGAAAAGGGACGTGTGCGTGTGCGCGCGTGTGCGCGTCTGTGTGTCCGTGTCTGTGTGTCCGCAAGTTGGTACAGTAGGGGGGCACAGGTGGTGCATCTTTCAGTCATCTCAGTCAGTCGACCCATGGCATCTGTTTATGTCCCGTGACCTCCTGCCAAGTGGAAGTTTGACACTTCACGTGGCCTTAAAGAGCAGCTGGCCTGGCACAAGCGCCGTGGTGACGTCACCGCCACTTAGTGGCGGATGGCGGCGGTTCTTGTTGTCTGCATGGAGTGTAGCAGGTAGTGCGCTGCGCCACTTACCCGGCCAGTCGAGTTCGATTCCCTCTCACGACCACCAACACCAGTGACGATTATCTCAACCTTCTGGTTCTCCCCGACGTCGACTCAGCCTCAAACGAGTACCTAGCGCGATGTGTAAAAACATCGCCACTAGGGAGACAAAGGCGGCCAGACGTGATTGCTGGCCACCCACCCCCTGGTGCGACATGCCTGGGCCTCCGTAGGTGGTGCTACTCGCTCGCGGGACTTTCCCCAACAGTCGGTGAAGGCTATACGGGGGACCTTTGTCTCTATGCAGGTGTACTACGAGTACATCCAGAGCTGGATCAGCATGCTGCAGCACCTGCCCCAGGCCTCGTATGGCCTCAAGAACCTGCTGGAGGAGGAGTGGGGCTTCAGCAAGCAGGTGGTGCCACTCGTGCGCGGGGGAGAGGCGCAGGCCGGCACCCTCTTCTGGTGCGGCACTCACCTACCCCCTCACCCACCCGCTCACCCACCCGCTCGCTCACCCACCTGCTCATCCACCCGCTCGCCCACCCGCTCACCCACCCACTCACCCACCCGCTCACCCACCCACCCGCTCACCCACCCGCTCACCCACCCGCTCACCCACCCGCTCGCTCACCCACCTGCTCATCCACCCGCTCGCCCACCCGCTCACCCACCCTCTCACCCACCCGCTCACCCACCCACTCACACACCCGCTCGTTCACCCACCTGCTTGCCCACCTGCATGCCCACCCACTCACCCACCCACTCACCCACCCACCCGCTCACCCACCCGCTCACCCACCCGCTCACCCACCCGCTCACCCACCCGCTCACCCACCCGCTCACCCACCCGCTCACCCACCTGCTCACCCACCCACCCGCTCACCCACTCACCCACCCGCTCAACCACCCACTCACCCAGCCACTCACCTACCTGCTCGCCCACCCACTCACCTACCCGCGCGCCCACCCGCTCGGCTAATCCATCACCTACCCCCTCACCTACCCCCTCACCCACCCTCTCACCCACCTGCTCACCCACCCGCTCGCTCACCCACCCACTCACCCACTTGCCCACCCACTGGCCCACCCGCTCGCTCACCCACCCACCCTCTCACCCACCCACCCACCCGCTGGCCCACCCCGCGGTGTTGACGTTCCCCGCTCTCGTCGCCGCAGTGACATCGCTCGCGAGCTGCTGCAGTCGACGGGCGACTTCCTGCGCCACGGGGCGCGCCGCCTGTGCTCGGAGCTGCACGTGAGCCCCAACGACAGCGTGCAGTCCGACGGCATCCGGTCAGCCACACCGCCAATATCTCTCTGTCTGTCGTGTGTGTGTACTGTGTGTACTGTGTGTGTGTGTGTACTGTGTGTGTGTGACTTTATGTGTGTGTTACTCTGTGTGTGTGTTACTCTGTGTGTGTGTACTGTGTGTGTGTGTGTACTGTGTGTGTGTACTGTGTGTGTACTGTGTGTGCGTGTGTGACTCTATGTATGTGTGTGTGTAATTTGTGTGTGTGACTCTGTGTGTGATGTATGTGTACTGTGTGTGTGTGACTGTGTGTGTATGACTCTGTGTGTACTGTGTGTGTGTGACTGTGTGTGTGTGACTGTGTGTGTACTGTGTGTGTGTGACTCTGTGTGTGTGTGTGCGTGGCAATATCTTTTCATCGGTTGCGTAACGCTGTGTGGAAGCTACCTGGTCTGTCGCTCCGCACGAAGCTTCAGGTCTTTTCGGCCACGGTCATTCCCTCCCTTCTCTACGCTTGCGAAACGTGGACCCCCCTAATGGAGCATCTTCGCCGGTTGGAAACATTTAGGCTGGCCTGCCTACGATCCATCCTGGGTTTAACCAGGCTGGATTGTGTGAGGAGCTCACAAATCCTTGAAAGATCTGGACAAAGTCCCATCGGTGAGCTCCTCCGGCAGGCAAGGCTGCGTTGGCTGGGTCATGTAGCCCGCATGCCCAGCCACCGCATGCCTAAACAGCTTTTGTTCGGCCAGATCGAGGGGGCTAAATGGGCGCGGCACGGGCTAGAGAAGAGATGGAATGATGTGGTACAGGAGGACGTGGAGCTGAGTGGACTTGCCGATGACTGGTACCAGCGGTGTCAAGATCGGCCTCAGTGGAGGAGGCTCGTGAAGGACGCTATTGGGCAGTTGGAGGCAGTCGCCCTCCAACAACAACGGAGGGCGGAGGAGCGACGCTCACAACAACGAGCGGAGCGCCGGGTGGCTAAAGCACAGCAAGTTGGCACAGTAGGGGGCACAGGTGGTGCATCAGCCAGTCATCTCGGTCATCTCGGTCAGTCGACCCGTGGCACCTGGGTCTGCCCCGTGACCTCCTGCCAGCGGGCGTTCGACACTTCACGTGGCCTCAAGGTGCACTTGGCCTGGCACAAGCGTCGTGGTGATGTCACCACCACTTAGTGGCGAATGGCGGTTGTTGTTGTGACTCTGTGTGTGTTACTCTGTGCGTGTGTTACTCTGTGTGTGTGACTCACTCCCCTCTCCCTGCGTGTGTGTGTGTCTCTCCCTGTGTGTGTGTCTCTCCCTGTGTGTGTGTGTGTGTCTCTCCCCGCGTCACGTGTCTGTGTCTCTCCCCACGTCACGCGCGTCTCCCCGGCGTCGTCTCCCCGCATGTCGCCTGCGCTGCAGGCGCTCCGTGATCGAGACGTGCCGAGCCGTGAAGGAGCTCTTCCACGAGGCGCGCGAGCGAGCCTCCAAGGCTCTCGGCTTCGCCAAGATGCTCAAGAAGGTCCCGCCGCTCACTCCTCTCTGTGCTGCCACTTGCCGTGACGTAGGCGCGCCCCGGCGTGCGCTCCGTGAGAGCCTGGAGTGCGCGCGGGAGTGAACCTGGGGGAGACAGAGGCGGCCGGGGGTGCTGCTGTCCACCCACCCATCTTTTGCGCGCCTTTTTGGCCTTGACAGGCGTTCGCAAAACGGCACTTGTCCCAAAAGTTTGTGAAGGCCACACGGGGGATATTTGTCTTTGTGCATGTGAGTGCGTCCGTCCGGGTGTCAATGGGAGTGCCATGCGCGTGTGTCTGGTGACGATGTGCGTGTGTCTGGTGATGACGTGTGTGTGTCTGGTGACGATGTGTGTGTGTCTGGTGATGACGTGTGTGTGTCTGGTGATGACGTGTGTGTGTCTGGTGACGACGTGTGTGTGTCTGGTGATGACGTGTGTGTGTCTGGTGACGACGTGTGTGTGTCTGGTGATGACGTGTGTGTGTCTGGTGACGACGTGTGTGTGTCTGGTGATGACGTGTGTGTGTCTGGTGACGACGTGCGTGTGTCTGGTGACGACGTGCGTGTGTCTGGTGATGACGTGTGTGTGTCTGGTGATGACGCGTGTGTGTCTGGTGACGACGTGTGTGTGTCTGGTGATGACGTGTGTGTGTCTGGTGATGACGTGCGTGTGTCTGGTGATGACGTGTGTGTGTCTGGTGATGACGCGTGTGTGTCTGGTGACGATGTGTGTGTGTCTGGTGATGACGTGTGTGTGTCTGGTGACGACGTGCGTGTGTCTGGTGATGACGTGTGTGTGTCTGGTGATGACGTGCGTGTGTCTGGTGACGACGTGCGTGTGTCTGGTGATGACGTGTGTGTGTCTGGTGATGACGTGTGTGTGTCTGGTGATGACGTGTGTGTGTCTGGTGATGATGTGTGTGTGTCTGGTGATGACGTGTGTGTGTCTGGTGATGACGTGTGTGTGTCTGGTGACGACGTGCGTGTGTCTGGTGATGACGTGTGTGTGTCTGGTGACGACGTGTGTGTGTCTGGTGACGACGTGTGTGTGTCTGGTGATGACGTGTGTGTGTCTGGTGACGACGTGCGTGTGTCTGGTGATGACGTGTGTGTGTCTGGTGACGACGTGTGTGTGTCTGGTGATGACGTGTGTGTGTCTGGTGATGACGTGTGTGTGTCTGGTGATGACGTGTGTGTGTCTGGTGACGACGTGCGTGTGTCTGGTGACGACGTGTGTGTGTCTGGGGATGACGCGTGTGTGTCTGGTGACGACGTGTGTGTGTCTGGTGATGACGTGTGTGTGTCTGGTGATGACGTGTGTGTGTCTGGTGATGACGTGTGTGTGTCTGGTGACGACGTGCGTGTGTCTGGTGATGACGTGTGTGTGTCTGGTGATGACGTGTGTGTGTCTGGTGATGACGTGTGTGTGTCTGGTGATTGACTGTGTGTGTCTGGTGATGACGTGTGTGTGTCTGGTGACGACGTGCGTATGTCTGGTGATGACGTGTGTGTGTCTGGTGACGACGTGTGTGTGTCTGGTGACGACGTGTGTGTGTCTGGTGATGACGTGTGTGTGTCTGGTGACGATGTGTGTGTGTCTGGTGACGACGTGTGTGTGTCTGGTGATGACGTGTGTGTGTCTGGTGACGACGTGTGTGTGTCTGGTGACGACGTGCGTGTGTCTGGTGATGACGTGTGTGTGTCTGGTGACGACGTGTGTGTGTCTGGTGATGACGTGTGTGTGTCTGGTGACGATGTGTGTGTGTCTGGTGATGACGTGTGTGTGTCTGGTGATGACGTGCGTGTGTCTGGTGACGACGTGTGTGTGTCTGGTGATGACGTGTGTGTGTCTGGTGATGACGTGTGTGTGGTCTGGTGACGACGTGCGTGTGTCTGGTGATGACGTGTGTGTGTCTGGTGACGACGTGTGTGTGTCTGGTGACGACGTGTGTGTGTCTGGTGATGACGTGTGTGTGTCTGGTGACGACGTGCGTGTGTCTGGTGATGACGTGTGTGTGTCTGGTGACGACGCGTGTGTGTCTGGTGACGACGTGTGTGTGTCTGGTGATGACGTGTGTGTGTCTGGTGACGACGTGTGTGTGTCTGGTGATGACGTGCGTGTGTCTGGTGACGACGTGTGTGTGTCTGGTGATGACGTGTGTGTGTCTGGTGACGACGTGTGTGTGTCTGGTGATGACGTGCGTGTGTCTGGTGATGACGTGTGTGTGTCTGGTGATGACGTGTGTGTGTCTGGTGACGACGTGCGTGTGTCTGGTGACGACGTGTGTGTGTCTGGTGACGACGTGTGTGTGTCTGGTGATGACGTGTGTGTGTCTGGTGATGACGTGTGTGTGTCTGGTGACGACGTGCGTGTGTCTGGTGACGACGTGTGTGTGTCTGGTGATGACGTGTGTGTGTCTGGTGACGACGTGCGTGTGTCTGGTGATGACGTGCGTGTGTCTGGTGATGACGTGTGTGTGTCTGGTGACGACGTGCGTGTGTCTGGTGATGACGTGTGTGTGTCTGGTGATGACGTGTGTGTGTCTGGTGATGACGTGTGTGTGTCTGGTGACGACGTGCGTGTGTCTGGTGATGACGTGCGTGTGTCTGGTGATGACGTGCGTGTGTCTGGTGATGACGTGTGTGTGTCTGGTGATGACGTGCGTGTGTCTGGTGATGACGTGCGTGTGTCTGGTGATGACGTGTGTGTGTCTGGTGATGACGTGGGTGTGTCTGGTGATGACGTGCGTGTGTCTGGTGATGACGTGCGTGTGTCTGGTGATGACGTGCGTGTGTCTGGTGATGACGTGCGTGTGTCTGGTGATGACGTGCGTGTGTCTGGTGATGACGTGTGTGTGTCTGGTGATGACGTGCGTGTGTCTGGTGATGACGTGCGTGTGTCTGGTGATGACGTGTGGTGGTCTGGTGATGACGTGTGTGTGTCTGGTGATGACGTGCGTGTGTCTGGTGATGACGTGCGTGTGTCTGGTGATGACGTGCGTGTGTCTGGTGATGACGTAGTGTGTGTCTGGTGATGACGTGTGTGTGTCTGGTGAGGACGTGTGTGTGTCTGGTGACGACGTGTGTGTGTCTGGTGATGACGTGCGTGTGTCTGGGTGACGACGTGTGTGTGTCTGGTGACGACGTGTGTGTTGTCTGGTGACGACGTGTGTGTGTCTGGTGACGACGTGCGTGTGTCTGGTGATGACGTGTGTGTCTGGTGATGACGTGCGTGTGTCTGGTGATGACGTGTGTGTGTCTGGTGACGACGTGTGTGTGTCTGGTGACGACGTGTGTGTGTCTGGTGACGACGTGTGGTGTGTCTGGGTGATGACGTGCGTGTGTCTGGTGACGACGTGTGTGTGTCTGGTGATTGACGTGTGTGTGTCTGGTGACGCACGTGTGTGTCTGGTGACGACGTGCGTGTGTCTGGTGATGACGTGTGTGTGTCTGGTGATGACGTGCGTGTGTCTGGTGATGACGTGCGTGTGTCTGGTGATGACGTGCGTGTGTCTGGTGATGACGTGCGTGTGTCTGGTGATGACGTGTGTGTGTCTGGTGACGACGTGTGTGTGTCTGGTGACGACGTGCGTGTGTCTGGTGATGACGTGCGTGTGTCTGGTGACGACGTGCGTGTGTCTGGTGATGACGTGTGTGTCTGGTGACGACGTGCGTGTGTCTGGTGATGACGTGTGTGTGTCTGGTGATGACGTGCGTGTGTCTGGTGATGACGTGTGTGTGTCTGGTGATGACGTGCGTGTGTCTGGTGATGACGTGTGTGTCTGGTGATGACGTGTGTGTGTCTGGTGATGACGTGCGTGTGTCTGGTGATGACGTGTGTGTGTCTGGTGATGACGTGCGTGTGTCTGGTGATGACGTGTGTGTGTCTGGTGATGACGTGCGGTGATGACGTGCGTGTTCCTGTGATGACGTGCGTGTGTCTGGTGACGACGTGCGTGTGTCTGGTGATGACGTGTGTTGTGCTGGTGACGACGGCGTGTGTCTGGTGATGACGTTGTGTGTGTCTGGTGATGACGTGCGTGTGTCTGGTGATGACGTGTGTGTGTCTGGTGATGACGTGCGTGTGTCTGGTGATGACGTGTGGTGTGTCTGTGATGACGTGTGTGTGTCTGGTGATGACGTGCGTGTGCTGGTGATGACGTGTGTGTGTCTGGTGATGACGTGTGTGTGTCTGGTGATGACGTGTGTGTGTCTGGTGATGACGTGTGGTGTCTGGTGATGACGTGCGTGTGTCTGGTGACGACGTGTGTGGTGTCTGGTGTGACGACGTGCGTGTGTCTGGTGATGACGTGTGTGTGTCTGGTGACGACGTGCGTGTGTCTGGTGATGACGTGCGTGTGTCTGGTGATGACGTGCGTGTGTCTGGTGATGACGTGTGTGTGTCTGGTGATGACGGCGTGTGTCTGGTGATGACGTGTGTGTGTCTGGTGATGACGTGTGTGTGTCTGGTGATGACGTGCGTGTGTCTGGTGATGACGTGCGTGTGTCTGGTGATGACGTGCGTGTGTCTGGTGATGACGTGTGTGTGTCTGGTGACGACGTGTGTGTGTCTGGTGACGACGTGCGTGTGTCTGGTGATGACGTGCGTGTGTCTGGTGACGACGTGCGTGTGTCTGGTGATGACGTGTGTGTGTCTGGTGATGACGTGCGTGTGTCTGGTGATGACGTGTGTGTGTCTGGTGATGACGTGCGTGTGTCTGGTGATGACGTGTGTGTGTCTGGTGATGACGTGTGTGTGTCTGGTGATGACGTGCGTGTGTCTGGTGATGACGTGTGTGTGTCTGGTGATGACGTGTGTGTGTCTGGTGATGACGTGTGTGTGTCTGGTGATGACGTGTGTGTGTCTGGTGATGACGTGCGTGTGTCTGGTGATGACGTGTGTGTGTCTGGTGATGACGTGTGTGTGTCTGGTGACGACGTGTGTGTGTCTGGTGACGACGTGTGTGTGTCTGGTGATGACGTGTGTGTGTCTGGTGACGATGTGTG